TGTATATGGGCAGCGGTCACTTTACTATTTTGGCGTAATTTGGTGGATGCTTGCTCGTTTCCACCTTATGCAATATAAAAACAAAAAGGGACGGACGAAATAACCACACAACGTTAATTCACTATTGTTATTAATAAGAGTATACTTCAGTCAAAGTAAATACCAACCAAGCAATAAAGTAAAACTTGTTATTGTAAACCAATTGGTTACCTCTAGTTGAGACGATAATTGACTTTGGGAATGAAATTTTGTTGTTAGCTCCAAAGGGATTTCCGTTCCTTGCAAGGACTTGATTACAACTTTTCCTTCTTCCGCAATTTATAAGAAGAAATTTTTCTTTATAATACCCATTGATTTTTAACCTACTACAATTAATAAATACAAAAGCTATTTAAACATGCCAACTATAAAAATTAAATCTGCGGTAATAATAAAATCAGTGTTTCGATGGTTCTTCTCTAATAATTTACTAAGAATAAACAATTAAATTGTTTCTACTTAAATTAAATAAAACCACTTACGTTAATCTATACTATTATAATAAAGCGTAAACACATACTTCTTTGTTGCCTAAGATGTCAGCAATTACAACATATTTTTGAATAATTATTTTTTTAATGAAAAGCCCTATACTTGCGTCACGCTTTACGCATAATATTTTCACGCTATTAAACTTAAGGGGTAAATATTTTGGATAAAAACCCTAATGTGGGAAAGAGACCATAAGTTGTTGGAAGCAAGATTGCCAAGGTTTGACATCTTATCATGTTATTTTGACATTTGAAATTTATAATTTGACAAATGTGAACATTAAAATGTTATTTTTATAATTTTATGCGGATGAAGTCGCACGGGAACAGCTAGTTAGATAATAAAATCAGACGAGCAAAAAAATAGAATATTCTACGTTTTTAAATTTAACATTTTAAACCTTTAATTTAATTTTGACTGATATTTCTATATCAGGTTAGCTAGTTATAATTAGAAGTGAAGCTATGTTTTGTATGTTAACCGTAAATTTTTTAAATATAACACGCGAAGTATTTCCGCGGAAAATTTTAAGAACCGGTTAACTCACAATATCGTTCTATTAAAATTGATCGCCTTAATATGTTTTTATATACAACATCGATCATATTACGTTCGAATTAAATAATTGTGTTATGTAAACCTTACTAATATCAGTTCTTACTAAGTTAAGATGGATAGATGGACGGATACGTTAGCGTAGTATGGACATATGCGACGAGACGATGGGGACATAAACCAGAAAGTGTTAAGAATGAATGTGGATGGGACAAAGAAAGAGGAAGACCTAAGAAAGTATGGATGGATTGTGTGAAAGGGGAGTGGATTCAGATATGACTGCTGATAGAGATGTATGGAAGAGCAGCACATACTGTGCCGACCCTTTTGCACCCCGAGGCAAGTTGATGATGATGATAGAAAGATGGACAGATGTTTGTTAGAAAATATTTCCAGAACAACTAAACTGATTTCTATGATATTTAGCCCACATATAGTACATAGTTTGAAAAATTAAACAATCTACTTATTGATTGTTTTTTCATTTACGCGCTAACGAAATCGCGGACAAAATCTAAAATTGTAGTAAAAATGCGAGTATTTGGGTGGATGATTGGGAATACCACGTAACACAAACACAGATAAACGTATCGGATATTTGCACAGAGCTTAATTACTGTCTTGATATATTTACTTGATACGTAAAAATTTTGATTTTAATAGCATACGGATGAAGTCGCGGGTAAAGCTAGTATAAACTAAGATGGTATATTTGATCATTAATTACTGGTTTAAATCCTACTTTTAATACATTTGTCGTAATCGGAAGAAAAAATTAATTTTCATAATTAGAACACGAGCGCTGCCGAGCGACTTTCGAGAGAACTTCAATCATTCTGAAAATGCGTATTCGTTGCGAGAACATTGTTTATATTATACTAGTTTTGTAAATCGATGCTATCTGATAGAGAGGTGTGAGTGTCCTTAAAACCAACATTACCCATGAACGCCCACACATGGTCCCGAATAGTCGTAATTCTGATATCGTGCTACCTCCAGCCGATATATTCATAACCAACCCTAACGATAATGTTTTAAGTATTGATAAATACTAACTTAAGCAATAGAGATTCTATATTACATTGAGAAATTGAAAAATAAAGGGATAAACAAAAATATAACAAAGGTCTGCTGTTATAGGAAAGCATCTACATAAGGAAGTAATAATACGGGAAAAGAACGAAAATGATTAAATATCTAAATGCATGAATGTTTTTTGAAGATCCAAAGTCATACAGTAAGGTTTTGATGCAGAAAAAATCAAGGAAATTATTAAAAGGATTAACTCTTATTTATGAGGTCTTTACTGTGACTTTTTGTATCTTGATGTTTTTGTATATACATTTAATTGAAATTGTAAAATATTTTTGGCATTCGCTCGAAATCATTTTCTTTGCATGTTTTTTTGTTATGTAATTTCCTTATTGTTTTTTACAAGAATCAATAAAATTGATGCGATGATGAATCTCACAATTTTCTGTTAGATATCAGAGGTATAAGATTCTTTTTGAATACCAATTGACCTCCTTGATATTTTGACCCCTGGACTACGTACTTACGGTTCGTTTGGACTAATGCTTATAAATTAGGCGTTTTTTTATCCTTTTGTCCTTTAGGACCTAGAACACTAGGCATGTCCTATAGGTTCTTAAATGTTATAGTTATTTCAAAAACAATAGATATAATATAGCAATACTAAATAAATTTTAGGATTATAATGTTGCAAATAATTTTTCGTTATTATATGTCACAAGTTGCATAAAAATACATAATAATTACGGTATTACGTTATTTAATATAAGGTGTAAAAACTTTACTGCATAAGATACTCATAAAAATCTCTTAAAATTGGAAAAACCAATCGATGTACGATTCACATTAGCATGTTTTTAACACTGTAAAGTATTCTTTCAACGCCCGTTAAACACAGCCGCGAATGGGAAATGACTGTGCACATCACGGATTATTCCCAACCGTCACCCCGCTCTGTCCCCACGTGAGAATAATAGGTTTCATCTGTCCCACCTTTTAGTCACACTATCACTAATAAGTTCCAACCGTCCCCTCGTTGCAAAAGCTAGGACAGATGAAGTTTTATTCTCACCTGTATCCACGTGGGGACAGAGCGGGGTGACGGTTGAGAATAATCCGAGATCACCTGGGGACACGAAATAGAGCACTGATATAACACCAAAACTCCCGGAGCTCCGCCTGTCGCACTAGACACTCCAAGGGGGTGAAACAGATAAAAGTTAACTATTCCTAATAGTGGGCAGTGTACCTATATTAAGATTGACCCTCTTGAAACCAAAAAGGGTACTCCAATTTACGGTTCTTTATGAAGCGTGCCTAACTCTTCCTTAAAGGCTTCCTCTGGTGTTGTCTATTTGCGTCATGCATCATAGTATGCCTATCTCTCGTATGCCCGATATTTTTATAATTAAAGATGTTATACTTTTTTATTGTTTCTTTTTTGTTTATCGAGCGATGGGCATGTTGCTCCGACTTGTAAGTGCTAAAGATCATATTGTATCGAGGAATTTAAGTACTTGTCACGATTAGTATCGAATTTAATCGTGTTAAGCAATTTTGTTGTAAAAGATAAAATAAGGTCTTTATAGAGATCTTGTTGTTGTTTGTTGCTTTTGTTCACTTAGATGTCCGGTTTATAAATGTTTAGTTTCAAATTGCAGTTTTTATAAGAATGACAAAAGTTCTTTAAGACCAAAGAGCAATGCATATTTTTTTGAATTTATACTTATGGTTAAAAATTCAGATGAGTGGAAAATAATAAGATAACTCGCGTCATAAGATAACAAAGTTTTGGGCAATAAGTAATTCGGTTCATCTTTCTTTTATTTATATAAGTGTCAAGCAACTAGCATACAGCAAGTTATAAAAATATTAAAATGATTATCTGGTTTTCATTTTCATTAATATTCACTGGAAATATGCATCACACTTAAAACAATATAATAAATTTCTACAGCATAGGTAGTAGATGAATAAGATGTTATTAGATTTACTTCTAAATATTATTAAAGTGAAACTAGTATGCAATAACAAATAACAATACTTCACTACAAACAGGTCACAATAGATTCTGTGTTGTTTTGTTAAATAATAATTGCTTAAAAATATCTTACGTACGACCTTATTGAGATAAATTAATAAAAGGATTATTTCAAATCTTGTTTGGTTGTTTTGAATTAACAGACATGTTTTAGTCTGGTTTTTTTTGTGGAAAATAACCTAATGAATGTTTGCGAATTCATTTTCTTACTAGCCGTTTAGTTTTTGCATGATCCAGTTTTATAATGATATTTGAAATTAGAACTTACCTGTAGCTTTTTGAAATGATGGCGCTACTTTGTATGTGTGTGACTATGTTTTCTCGTCATCAATCATATAGTACAAACATTTCCTAATTGATAGTGGTTCTAGCCATTGTATTTAATAAATATAAGCGATTGTTTGCTCCAGATGCTACCCTAAACCCTAGCCATGAGGTTATCCCAGACCTGAACCTGACAAACACAATCCTCAAGCACGGACAACCATTCTCAAAATTAACGTTAACAGTGACATCTCTCGGTATATTTTACCAACACGTTCTATTTATGTTCGCAGTTAAGTACTAGTAGCGCCATCTAGTGTTCAATAGAAACACTTTTTTTTAAGAAAAAGCTATTAGACGCCAGATGGCGTATTTCCAAAGGATTTGATTCATCATATTTTGGTTTTTAATAAAAATTACGCTTTTACATGTTTTTATATCTCTATGAGTGCGGTAAACGCTTTAGATTAATCTGATAAATTGTTTTAATTAAATACAATATAAAAGTAAGTGCCCTACTTTGTCGTACTTAATGACGTAACAGCAAATGTCAAACCATTCTTAATTCTTATTTAATCTGTGTGATCCAACTGAAACGGGAGTGGGTCACGGAGTAGTATGTTGTTAGTGAAACAGTATTTCTTATAGTTAAAGAATATGAATTGTAAAATATTATTATGGAGCTAGATATGTAAATTACATTAAATCATAAGTTTTAAGAAAAAAGCTCGGTAAGAGCTATTATTATAACCTAAATTAGTCAACCAGTGTAGATAAATGAAGAGGTGACAAACGCCTCTGATATTGCATTGAATCATAGTTAGTTTGAATGCCATTACCAGTACTACACGCTTTTCATCTTGCAATATATTTTTCGTGGTGATATCAAGAGTTTGAGGGTGAGTAAATTAAATAGCTCCTATATTCGTGCAACGCCCACTGGTAGCTATGCCGCTACGCTCAGTAAAAAATGTAGAAAGTATCGTGAATAATTTTCACGTGCGGTTTGCGTTTCTTGCAGTTTCTTTTTGATTTAAAATTAAAAGGTAAAACATAATTTGGCAATTAAAAAAAGTAAAAGCTATTGCAACTATTTAAAATGCATTTTTCCATTTGTTAATGTCTAAATGTTAAATATTTATTGTCTGATTTTCCTTTTATAAGTAAACAGTGAAATTCTTTAAGAACTTTGTCATTGTTTCAGATTTCAATTGTTTTAATATTCGAAATATTAAATGTATAGTAGTTTTTGTCTAAATAAGGATGTTTTGTTTGACATCGCATTAGTAATGGATTTTAAAAATGGGGCATGAATTTTTTCGATTTTACTCTCATAGGAGTCAAAAATTAAAAATTTTAGTGACATTACATTTCTTTTAACTCTCATCTTTGTATTTATTCTGGATTCTGGATCCATAAGGTGATCAATATAAAACATTGTATATTTCATTAATTCTGTCAAATTCAAATTATTGATGATATCCAGAATAAATACAAAGATGAGAGTTAAAAGAAATGTACTGCTAATATGGTGCATAATAATGGGTATTAATTTTTATTATTATTGTTGTTGATTATTTATTTATTTATTTTCATGGAAGACCAACAGCTATTACAACAAAGTAGGAGTGGTAGTTAAAGTGTATAGCTAATAACAGGTCTCCACTAATAGAAGTATTTTACAAAAATTTTAATGTGCGGATAAACAGTAGAAAACCAAAAAGTTAAACAATACAAAAAATACAAAGTACAAAATACAAAACGAAAAAAAAAACGAATTGTTTGTTATCACCATAATCACTATTAGAACTGTCTCAAACTAAATTTGTATTGTAAATTATAAATATAGATAAAAAAAAATCAAAATTTTAATTATATTCAATTAATTCCAAGTTCAACCAATGTTCCATATTTCATTTTTGATATGCAAGTATGTTCCTTCACTATGCTAGCCATCTATAAAGTACTTTGCATTTGACTTCATATATTTAATTGAATAAACAAACTATAATTTGTTTTCATATTTGCCAGTTATCTACAATAGATAAGGTTTTATTAACAATTGCTTACTATTTTTCAAAGACTAAAGATGTAATAGGAATTATGTTAAAAACTTAGTGGCTATGCTTTATCTATGCAAAGTACAATTAATAGTAATTTTTACATATTTTTTATTTCAAATGACTATACATTATTACACATGTATTTGACTTAAACCATTCGCTAATGGAAATGTAGAATAAACCATAGATATAAAAAAGTTCTTAAAGCAAGAGCTGTTAAAAATATAAAAAAGTGTTTTTCTTAACATAAAATTTAGGAGTACTAGGAATAAAGAGAATTAAATATTAATAGCTTATATCATAAATAAATTTAATAATAAAATTAAAACTAGTTCTTAAAAAAAATTAGAAGTGTAACATTTTTACATATGTATTTGTTTTGTTTATTGATATCCAAATACCCACATGTGACATCCACTACCTCTTACTAAATTATCCTTATAAAAATGGTAGGCCTCTGGTATGTTCATCATACATATTATAGTTACTTTTATTACATTGAACTATTGTGAAGACCGAAGTATGGATGGATTGTGTGAAAGAGGATATGCTTAATAAGGGAGTGGATTCAGATATGGCTGATAGAAACGTATGAAAGAGCAGCACATACTGTGCTGGCCCTTTAAAGGGACAAGAACAAGTTCTCATCACTAACTTGTTTTGATGAAAATGTATGATATAAGCTATAAATTATTTTAACTCTCTTTATTCCTATTACTCCTAAATTTTTGGTTAAGAAAAACAAGCGCAAAACTCCAGGTAAAAACTAGTATAACATAAAATGCGTCGTGATTGTTATATTACCTTTTCGATGGTCATGAAAATAGAAAAATATGACCTTCGTATAGTTAGACAGGTAGACACGACAAATATAAATCATTGCCAATATACTTGATGTCAAAGTTTTTGCTGTATTTAAACGCTTAATTCGATATTTTTGACAGAATTAAATTTATGTTTACTTCGTGAAAATTTTTGAAAAATTAAGAAGTTTCTCTGATTTATAAAGTGTAGATATCCATTACTTAATTTTATTTGCCATTCAATGTACCCAATATATATTTTAAAATGCTATTTCCTTTTATATAACTTAACACTTGAGTGAAAAAAATATTTTGTTTAAATTGAGAGATTAAGACTGAAGAAGGTATGGGTAGACTAGCTTCCGCCCGCGACTCCACAGCGTGGAGTAAAAAAAAAACAAAACTTAGTAGCCTATGTGTTCTTCCAGATTATCCTCTATGTCTATGCCAAATTTCATCACAATCCATTTAGCCGTTTCGGCTACAAACCCTAACATCCATCCATCAAAACTTTTGCATCTATAATATTAGTATGAAATGATTATGTAAAAGAGGATATGCTTAAGAAAGGAGTGGATTCAGATATGACAGCTGATAGAAATGTATGAAATAGCAGCACATACTGTACTGACCCTCCGTAAGGGATAAGGGAAAGATGATGTCGATGCAGTTATTTTTTATGGTTTGCGCCATGCCGCCCTCTTGTAATCCGAACATGTGGGAACAAGGATTTTATCGTTTTGCAGTTTAATAGGTTTGTAACAAATGTCTCGTTCTGTGGATAGTGTGAATCAAAGGGTTAAATGGAATAGAGATGGTCTGAAAGGATATGATTAATTAATTATTCGCGATGTTCGGGTTTGGCGGTCAGGTGTGACGAGTGGTGACGTATGCGTGACGCAGGTGAGCGTGCTCGCAGTCGGTATCGCCGCGGCCGCGTTACTCGCAGTCACTGTCCGTCGCGCGCTCGACGGACGCTAACACTTGCGCGTGCGCATCGCTCTCTACAATTCGAAACGATTTAATTATCAACTGGTCACTTCCCTACACGCGTTCGAAATAGGGTTGTCACATTTCTGCATCCTTTGCATAAATTGTAAGTATATTTTTTATTTTTTCTTCATAATTTAATGGGTGCCAGATGTGTAATTTTTTTAAGGGTCTTAACTTTGTGTAAGATATACCTATATTGATCAATACTTAAAAGAGAAAATCATAACACGTGCTTTAATCAAGTTTTATATGTCCCTATGCTTTCTTGATTTTAGAATTATAGCACGTAAAATTACGATGAAAATAAACAAGTGCAATAAGCAGTGGTAGAACATTGTAACGAGTACAATTGAAATAAAACCAGAAAAAATAGTATGAACGAATTGCTTACATTAAAAAGATATATTTATTATTCATGATATAACAAAGAATGTAAACCATTTTATAACAAAAGTTCTAAAAATTATGTCCTTTATCATCAAAACTAAAAAAAATAACGATAATATGAAATTATTGATAGTGTTGATTGAAACGAAAAAGTAGTTAAAAAGTCTTCTTTTTTGTCTTTATTTGGGAGGGGGGATTTTTATCTTTAAAAAGATAATCCAATCCCATAGTGATTTAAAAGTTTGTCAGAAAGGTGGTCGAAAGATCCCATAATATTTTTGTTTCGTGTTTCATTCAATTGATAATTTCATAAGATGTTGACCGGCTTCGACCAATGTTACAAAATTGTTGCATTTTATTTTATACGTTAATGTTTTGCGTTATAATTTGCACACAATAGTTGTTTTTAGAAAGTCTATTGTTAACTAAAAATTATTAAAACATTGTTACTGAATATAGTTTTCAATGTAAGTTCGTAATTTACTTTTAGTTTCGTATAGACATTAATAATGCGTCATTAAGTTCAGTGCACTTGATTACTGTGTATTGAAAGATTTCAACATTGATTTTCATCTTCAACTTCTGGCAGTTTCGGAAAGCCTAAAAATATATATCGTTGAACCAATCATCGAGACGCGTTTCTTCGAAATTCGTAACGTGATTAAATCAGAGTTAAAATGAAACGTCGCTAGTACTATAAAAATTTAATTGTATTTTATTTTGTTAATGAAAATTAAAATATAATACCTATAAATAGGCAGTCATCTTTAACATATTCTGACATTTGTATAACACGACTAACATGTTTTGGTAGTGCATTTATTTTAAGGTAATTCGTTTACTGCCCATCACGTAATCAACTCTATAAAAACAATTAGTTGTGAACTGTGTGCTGTTGCGTGATCTATGCTATTATCAACTTTATTTTTTAGTGAAATAAAAAATGTAATGTTTACCGCGGATACTGTTTTTTGCCATATATTTGTCACGTTATTTTATCGTTATATCTACGTCTGTTAAAAAAACCGGTCGGAACTAACCGGTACTTTGTACGTAGGTTTGAAGGAAGAATCAGTTTTGCCTATTGCTTAAATTTTTAAAACCGGCTTTGTAGTTTGACGTAAACCAATATTAACATTCTTCATAATTTCCTGTAGCTAATATATTATGATATATCGTTTTTATAACCAATTAAAAAAAAGCCTCGTTATTTTAATTTTGAGGAAGGAGATCTAATATACTGCGATATCAAAACCCGTTTAGTGTTCTCTAATAGATCCGCTTAGTGTAGATATGACGCGAGAAATCTACACAAAGCCTCTTAAAGCCTTCTCACACCGGATTATTCCCGACCGTCAGCCCGCTCTATCTCCACGTGGGAACAGATGAGAATAAAATATTTCATGTGTCCCACATTTTAGTTCCACTATCACCAATAAGGTGACAGATGAAACCGTTAAATAAAATAAGTTCTAACCCTCCATCCGTCGCAAATGGTGGGACGGAGGAAACTTTTTATTCTCAGCTGTTCCCACGTGGGGACAGACCGAGGTGACGGTTGGAAATCCTTCACACCTTTAGTTTTATGTTTGATGGTGTGTATCAGGCTTAACTATTAAATATCTGTTTGTGGAGAGTAGTAATCTTTTTTAA